TACATACACATCACATTGTACATTTCAGGGCTGGATGGCCCATCTTGTGTCACACACAAAGGTGTTTCTGTGGGATCACAGATCGGCCGGATGGCCCTTTTCACAAAGGGAAGGGGAAGGGAGAGGATGGAACAGGAATGGGAGAGGGTAGAGAGAGGAGAGGGGGGTAGGGATTGTGTGGGGTGGTGGGATGGGGTGTGTGGGGCAGGGAATAAGGCAGACCAAAAGTGTAGACACTTTTGGGTGGGCCAACCCAAAAGTGTATACACTTTTGGGTGTGGTTGGGGGGCTAAATTTGCCCCTGGAGTCTAAATTTAGCACCCCCCAAATCTCGAATTTGGGGGGCTAAATTTAGCCCCCAAATTTAACCCCCAAAAGGGTGTAAATTCTTAGGGGGGTGTAAAGTGTAAATTTACACCCATTGGATCTATCAGGAAAGGTGCATGGATAAAAAACATGACGGCGAAACCCGCATTTGGAATGCCGGGCGAAGAACCGCCGAACTCTGCTGACCTCGCTGCCAGTGGCAGTGAGTCTGTATGGGTCGGCAACTGGTGCTTCCCTCCTGACTGCCTGGGGCTGAAGGTGCTCGGTTCTCCTCTTGGGCATGATGATGTCGCCGCGCAAACACACGTGCGACAGACTGGGATACCCAGGGTGCTGGCCCGCCTCCGCTCAACTCACGTCGACCCGACGAGGACCTACCTTGCTGAACTCGTCCCCGCGTCGTGCACTGTTGCTCTCGCAGGCAGGGCCTTGCGCCGCCCGAGCCTTCAAGTTCCCGCCCGCGCGCAATGAGGTCACCATCCCCCGCCGAATTCCGCGTCCTCCTGCTGCGGCGTCCGCGCATGCCCCTCCCGCTCGCGCCGCGCAGATGCGCCTGCCAGGGCATGCGCTACCTCCGGGGTGCTGTCGAAGCGCGCTGCCTCACGAGCACGTTGTCGCACGTGTATGCCACGAGGCTGGACAATAGGGTCGCCCGCAACGCCCGGTTGGCCGACATGAACCTCGACATGCCAGTTGCGGACGACATGCGCATCGAGGTCGTCGGCCTGCCGCTGTGGCACCTGTCGCAGCTCGCCCCTCCGTCCCCCGGCAGCTCCGACCCGCTGCGATCACTGCCTGGGTCGCGCGATGGTCTGGCCTCCCGGCAGTCGCTGTGCAGCGCACATTTGTCGCCTCCCTGCTTGAGTTGTCCCCTGCTGGCGACGGGCTCCGGCCAGAGCTACATGAACTCCTCGCAGGGGCGCGCTGGCTGTTTAACACTTACCGGCTGACTGTGCTGGAGTCCGCCAGTAAAGGTAGGGCGTAGTTTGCACTGGCACGTCCCGTGCCCCCGCGGTCGTAAAAAGGCACGTTAGACGCGGACATCGTCGCGGAAAGCCGCCTGCCAGCTCCCAGCCACTGAATGTCCTCCACGGCAGGGTAGTGGGTAGCTGGGCACGGAAAGACAGTTCCTTCAGAGCAAGCGGTAGGGGAAAAATCCGGGATGCTTTGACGTAAACAATTGGCAGGACCGGAGATTTCGCAGTGTTGATCTTTTTCCTGATGGATGAAGTTTTGAACATATGATGCAATCTCGGTGTGCATCTTTTGCTCCCGCAACTAAGACGTCTTGGCAGTCTGAAATGCAGTGGTTGCATCTGTCCATAACCGAGGTTGGCTTGGTTTCATGCGGAAACAATTTTCGGCCCTCCGCTTCATCGGAAGACGACGTGGGAGTTCCCGGCTGCGGCTAGGAGATGAGCGATGACGATAGTCCCGGAAACATTGCAACGCGTGGGACGATGGAGGCCAGGCCAACCAGCACAGTCCGAATTTGTGAAGCCGCAAAAGTGACTTAGTGAGCCCAATGCGTCCCAGCGATTGCCTCCTGCGCACGTCTGCGACCTCGTGAAAGTTCACGTGCATAAAACAAATCACCCGCGCTCCGCGCAGCAGCCGTTTCACCGTGGGCCACGACCGTATAGCGGAGCCAACCCTGTGTAGCTCACCGACGTAGGACCCGCCAATGGGACACGAGATGGCAGAAGCAAGCAGGACGAGAAAAACAAATAACAGACATGGAAAACTCTGACTTATTGGACGCACGTCACCTTCAAGTTGAAGGCAGAGTTGCGGAAGATAGTGTCGTAACAAATTGCGCCTGAAGCTTCATGAGTGCTGTGTTGCGGGTCGAGCTTGGAAATAGGGCAGTAGTGGAGTAGTTTGGGAACAAATGAGGAGGAGGGTCCTAAACTAATCCGGGCTTTACGTTCCAGGAGTCGGAGCGTTGTTTCATAACGTACGGCCCCACCACCTGCAAGATCCGAGGGAAGAAGGCCGGCAGGCATTTCCGTCGTGTTTCGTTGTCCGGGGCTTTGACAATTCATGAACTTGGATGCAGCTGACCGAGGTTTTTCCAACGTGTTGCAAAAGCTGTGTGCCTCGTCTTATGCACTGCGCATGCCAGAGCTTTTGTCGCCTTTGGTTCATGCACTGCTTGACGGCACTGTCTGCAGGGCAAAGTAAACGACACCGAACCGTTTACACTATAGTGTCCACCTAGACTGTATGCGCAGAAGGGATAACTCTCCACATCGAAGCGGGGCAGGAACACAATCACGCAGACATTGTGAAATGACGTAGATGTGTGCTGCGTGCATGTAGGAACATCTGCAAGAGCATTCGACGGAATCCCCACGACTTGAGAACGCCAAACGGACACAGCAAGACGACTAGACGGATCGGCGTCGTCGGCGCAGTCAATGGCAGCATCAATTAGCAGCAGCAATAGCAGCAGCCGCAGTAGAAGTAGCAGCAGGGTTGGCAGTAGCAATCACATTCTCCTGTGTTTTTTCTTTCTCCGTGTATCTGCTGTCACTAAGGCCTACCTCAAAAAGGAGCGCGACATTTGTGGTCATGACATTGATTGCGACATCCGCCCCTTGTCTCGAGAAGGCGAGCGGCACGAATCATGCATGCATCGAAGTGGTTGATTGTGAAAGGTGCCAATGAAGCCGTTTGTCCACCTTGGTATTGGAAGTCAGCATCAGCATGGCCAGAAAATTTTCACGAAGAAGTTGGTGGAGCTTATGTGAAAGAGTAGCTTCGGCTCAGTCTGGTGGTTGCTAGACTTGGTGGTGTGGCTTGTCGTGCATTGCATGTTGTGGGTGGGTTACCCGCACGTGTCCAGGATGGGCACAAAGATTCTTCGGCGCAGACTCCCAGACTGGGAAGTGGTTCAGTGCCAGCGAATTGAGGATGCTCTTTTGTGGGAAAAGTACACCGCCAAGCGAGCGCAGCCTCATGCCGGCACTGGAATCAAGGGGCCATCGACTCTTCGACGCTTGTGTTCGATTCATATCACGATCTTTGCGACCAGGCTTCGAGACAAGTCTGTCAGTTGCGCACATGTCTCACCTGATGCTTGGATGCATGAAACAGTGGCTGCAACGTGCTATAGACCGTCCGCTGATAGCATGTCATGTGCCGTTGTGTTTGTGCCTGTGTGCTTTGGGCAGGAAACCGCCGAAAGCATTCAATACTCCGCTAACACAACCTTGGACCACAAAGTCAACGAGGTCTGGTTGCTCCATGGTCCACTGCCAGAAGGTTTAGCCTGAGGGTTTTGCCCTTTTGACGTGACTTGGGCACCTGTTGTAAGAGTTTTTTCTGCTTATGCGAGGAACATCGGAAGAAGCAGCTAAAGCGATTTCTCGAAGCAATTTCTTGCCCAGCAGTGGTGGATGCTTCGGAGCTGGTATTTATTTCGCAGATGATGCCAAGAAAAGCAATCAGTATGCAAAGGGCAGGACGGACCCTCTGACTTGACCTGGCTGGCGGGACATGGATTTGGAAGTAGTCCGTGTTCACAGGCAGCACGTTTTGGAGTCAACAGCCTGGGCGCGCATCAGCCGTACTGTAGCCGCTACTGTAGCCAAGGAGGATGACTGCAAGATCATGCTCCTATGCAGAGTCACCTTGGGCAACGTAAAGATGCTGCCTAAGGGCCAAGATAGAAGTGCTGATCGATTCGCTGATGATCCAAATGTGGACACTTGCTTCATTTGACAACTCCCTCGTTGCGCTGCTTATATATCCGACCCACGAAGCCATCAGGATTCCATATTGGGCTGCACTGACACGCGGGAGTTCGTTGTGTACGACACCTCGCAGATTTATCCTGAGTACATCATGCTCCTTGTCAAAGCAGTCGTGTATTTGTACGTGCTCGTGGTTTCGTGCTGCGAGTGCATGCTGCGGGAAGTTGATTGGAGCTTGGTTTTCCAGGTACTACAAGGAATCCAGCAAGCTTGCTTGAACAAGCGCGAGCCTAGTGCTAAAAAGAATGCCCATGATTGCGAGCAGCTATGTAAGAGAAGTGAGAGGCAGAATTTCGTTGTCCGGCTATCCAGACTCCAATTATCAGGTCTTCTGGCTCAAGCATGATGATGTGGTAACTTCATGCCACGCCCACCGCATGTCTGCGGCAGTCGTCGCACAAAAGGTTGCTGAACTGCGCAGCTTGCTTCAAAAGAAGGTGTACTCAGCTTGATCCAGAGCATGCTCTGTTCTAGTGACAGCAGCGGCACCGGGCATGTTCTGGCATCTAAGGCGATGATGCGCAGAACATAGCACAAGAACAGAGAAACGAGACTGTGCGAGAAATCTTCGAGCGCCTGGACGTGCCTCGGCTTCATAGCGTAGCTTACATTTCCGGTAGCTGCGCTGCTTTGTGAGATTGTCGCAAGGACAACGGCAGTGGTTCCCTAGACCGATCTGAAGTCAAAAGTCTTCTGCGGCAGCTCAACAAGGCCATTGCGGCCGTGAGGCTCAGTGGATGTCTTTGTAGCCCTTGTTCACACGCAGGGCCACCCGCCGACAGAGGAGGAGCTTACGTTTGTCATGAAGATGGCAGGCGGGTTCACTGTCGGAATTTTGAAAGCACTGGGACGGCTCCGGAGCAGCCCTGTAAGACGCAGGTGAAGGGTCGGTGCAGCCAGGCAGGACTAGAGCGGCCACTCGTCGACTGTTGCAAATCCTTTTAAGAAGACTCCACATGTGATGGCGTTCCAGTCTATTTTTGATCAGTCGTTCCACTGAGGATACCAGAAGCCTTGAGATTGGCAGGGACAATCTCATGTCTGCTGTGACATGCTGGCGGATTTACCAATCCTCGTGAGGCACTCAGGCTCCACCTCGCTTGCCTGAAAGCTTTTGGAAGCCGTTTAGTGGCTGCAGTCTAGATGCGTGCTGACGGCTGACGGTCAAGGTTTGCAAATGAAAAAAGTATGGGTGTGATACTATTCAAGAGCCTCGCCGCACCTACGGGCACTTGATGACGTCATGTAGGGGTTCAGTACATGTTGTTCTACAGCCCTCATTCGATTTTCAATGTATCTTCTTGTTCGAATATTCAGTATTCACAGTGGATTGATTCACTATGGTTCTCCGAAGGGAAGGGCTGGTGTAAAAATGAGAACACTGAGCACTGCACATGCGCAGTTCATATGGCGACCGTGGAGGCTGTTATGTCATGTTTGGCGATTGTGCCTACGTGTGTTTTACATGCGCACCCAAGGAAATTTGATCCAGAGAGCACCGGAAGGCTAGACCGAGATCAGCTTAAGGCCTGCGCAGAATGTGCCCAGCACCAATGGCCTGGCAGTTGCAGATAGCATGAAGGGAAGTTGCTCGAAGTTTCGACCCTACTCCCGACGAAAACGACCCTGCGGGACGCAGAATACCTGCTGGTGATGCTTCAGGCGCTCCTCGAAGAGCTCAGCGCCGAAGAGGCCTGACTTTCGGGCTTTCTTGCTGCCAGCTATATAGGCTGAGGCAGTTCGTTTTGGGCGTATCTTACTCTGGCACCGTTTCGGGATGTCTAGAACTCACAGGTATTCACAGCCATCGCCTCGTCTCCACCGTTGTGTTTCTTCGCCTGAATGCTGTTGTACTCCATGTTGAAACATGGCTTTCCTGCAACTCCACATCACGACCGCGGACAACACCGCGAACATGTGCGCAGTCGTTTGCTTCTGTCATGCAGAGGTTTCATGGATGTTCCTACGCCTCGCATATTCTTGATTGTTCTTAGGCCCTGTTTTT